TCTCTCAATTCAATAGTAAAAGGACAACTATTTAAAACATGGACAAAGAATTGAATAAGTGTTTCTCTAAAAAGGTAAAACACACCAAAAGCACATGAAAAGATGTCCAACTTCATTAGTCACTAGGGAAATCCAAAACAAAACCACAATGACCTATCACGTCAAAAAGACAGACAGTAGTAAGTGTTGACAAGGACATGGAAAAAATTAGACCATTGTCCGTTCATTCCTGGGGGAATACAGCATGGTGGGCCCACTTAAGAAACAGTTTGGCAGTTCCTCAGGAAATGTGGAAGCCCTAACCACCAGCACTTCACAATGTGGCCATTTGGAGACAGGGCTTTCTTTAGACAGATGATTAAAGTAAAATGAGGCTGTGTTAAACGCTTCTCCAATGTGACTGCTATCTTTATAAGATGAAACCCGGACACACACAGACACCAGGGAAGCATGAGCGCGCACACAAAGGATCACAGGCGGAGCCAGTGATCAGCAAGTGAAGGAGAGAGGGCTGAAGAGAACCACACTGCTAACACCTTCATCACACCTCCAGCAGCCAGAACCGTTTCAGCCACACGGCCTTGGAATTCTGTCACAGCAGTCCCAGGAAACTAAGGCAATACTCAAGCGACCTGAAAACATGTCTATTTACATAATCATTGTGAAACTTATACACAAATGCTCACAGCACCACTATTCATAAAAGCCAAAAAGTACAAGTAACCAAATGTCCATCGACTAATGAACACATTGGTCTGCTTTGTATCACTACAATGGCATATCTGAGGCAGCCAACTTCATACAGAGAAAAGGGGTGGTTGGCTCCCAGTTTAGGAGGCCGAGTCCAAATGGAGCAGTGCTGGCTGTGTGTGCAGCGTAAATGAGTGATTACAACTTGAACCAGAAGCAGAAAGAAGATGGGGCAAACTCAGGCTTGGTAACAATGCTCCTGAGAAAACCGTCTCTTCACAGCACATGCCCACTAAGGACCGTCCACGAAGCCCCCCCCTCCTAGCAGTCCACTTCTTCACGGAGCTTCACCCCACGGACCAGCCTTCACCACATGGGCCATTGGGAGACAGCCAAAATCCAGATCATAGCAATGCTCGAAGTCATGGTGTAAGGAAGATGCAAGGCCTTATGCACCCCATAAAAGGACATGAAGGTTAGGCACAGTGGTACATGCCTAATCTCAGCTAGGCAGAAGGCTGAGGCAGAAGGACCACACGTTCAAGGCCAGCCTAGGCAACACAGCAAGACCCTGCCTCAAAAAAATAAAAAATAAAAGGACCAGGGATGTAGCTTAGTGACAGACCGCATGACTACAAGGCCATGAGTTCAATGCCCAGTAATAAAAAAAAAAGTTAAATATTACAGGAATGACGTGTTACAACATGGAGGAACCTTGAAAACATCGTGCAAAGTAAAAGCAGTCACACACAAAAGGGACGTAGTGGAAGATTCCACTTACAGAAAGATCTAGAACAGGCAAATCCATATGAGAAAAAGCAGAAGAGGGTCGCCAAAGGCTGAGGTTAGGGGATTACCGAGCGACTTTCTTTTGAAGGGGTGAAAATGTTCTGGATGGGACCCTGATCATGATTCTACAATTGTGTGAAAATACTGAAAACACACCTTTGTACATGTGAAATATAACTCAATGTAAAATAAAAATCTAGACGGTTTGAGGTGGCAGAATTAAGACCACTTTCCTTTAAAAAATAAAATAGAATAAACCAAAGACTCATACAATTTGGGTCTTTGAAATGACATGATATGGTTTTTTTAGTTTCTTTTGCATGAATCGTTCTACAACTATCTTGAGAAAAGCTCATTCTTAATAAAATCAGAATCATATACATTCAAACAACTTCCACTTTTAAAAAACAACACTGTAATACTGCACTGAAGTGAAAGTCTGGGGGTAGAAATCCGGGCCTCTGACAACCGTCCCCCGCACTGACTGACTCGGCTGTGGACAGCTGGCCCTCCTCTGCAGCCCTCACAGCTCCCCTCAGGGGTGAGGCACCTTCTGCTACCCCATGCAGGTGGCCAGGGGCCAGCAAGAGTGCCGCGTTCGTCAGGCCACAGTGACAGTTGTGAAATGGGCATGCGGCCCTGCCAGGCAACTCAGGGCACTCCCTGCAGTTCTGCCAGGGTGCTCTCAGGATGACCACCTCGTCCCACCAGCAGGCCAGCTGCAACAAGGTGAACTTGGTGCTGCACCTGCCAAGTCCCTGAGAACAAAGCCAGTGCAAGGGAAGGACCAAATGAGAGAAAGATGGAGCCCTAGCAGCACTGTGGAGGCCAGGACGGTGACTGCAGTAAAGCTGGCTGTGCCCCGACTCCAGCAGCGTGAACCAGCGCATTTTTTAAAAAATTTTATTTAAAAGGAAAAAGAGAAAAAACAAAACAAAACAAAGCGGTGTAAGGGTACAAGTAATACAGAACTACAAAAAAAAAAACAGTAAGAAATCACCAGTTAATAGATTACACATTATCATCTTAGAGATAGTTGCTCACGTCACAGTATCAAAGCATGCAATGTGGACATTCAAACAGTGAGACTGCAAACACTTGGAACCAGCACATTCTTCATGTGAATGGATTTCTGGGACTGCAATGAGCTCCTATCCTAAACATGCACTACCTTGGCAACCAAATTTGGGTTTGTTTTGGTTTTGTTTTTTGAGGTCTTTTTTGTGTGTGTTTTGTTTTTTAGACCAGGTCTCATAATGTAACTTAGGCTGGCCTTGATCTCACTACCTTGCCCAGGTTGCCTTGAGCAGGCATGGACAGCACACCCAGCTGGAAGCCAGTTACTGATTCATGGAAAACCTCTGTGGAATGCAGCAGGAGGATAAAGGAAGCAAGAGAGAGACTAAAGAATGAAAAGAGAAATGGACCATATTAGAAACATTTGTGTGCGAGTTTAAAAGCAAAGTTACTTCCTGAAGAGAATTTGTGCAGCCAGACTGCCTGGGCTTGAGCCATGCTTGACCGCTTACCAACTCTGACTCTGGTTATTTTACTTCTTTGTGTCTCAGTTTTCTCACTGGAAAAATGAGGATGCTAACAGTATCTATCTTATAGAGCTATTGTAAGGTATGAGTTAGAACAAGGCTTGATATACAATAAGCACTTAAAAACTACCAGCTACAGATAATCCTGATGTGACAGGAGCCCAAAGTTAAACTTCTACCTCTAAAATAACACGTTTATATTAACAATACACTTCAGGAAAGGAATCCAGGATTTTAAAAAGAAATTGATGTAACCATACAATGGACTACACAGCCAGCCACAAAAGGAAAGAAGGAAGGAAGGAGCCTTAAAAACATTAAGCTAACCAAAAGAAACCAGACCCCTATGCCAGTCCTCAGCGACTGCACTGATGTGGACTGTTCGGAACAGGTAAATCCATGGGAGTGGACAGTGGCTGTCAGAGGGGTGAGTGCAGGTTTTCTTTTCAGTGTGATTGAAATGCTCTGGGAACAGGTAGTGGTGATGGTTACTCAATATGTGAACATGCATCACGATCACTGAAATACACACTCCACTACGGTGAACGTGATGTGAGTTATTTTTCAATTAAAAAAAGAGATTTTTACCCCCCTCAGTACTGGAGACAACCTGGAAAGTACTGAACCCACCTCTACTTATTTGTTTAATCTTGAGCAGGGTCTCACTTAGTTGCCCAGACTAGTTTTCAATGTGTGGTCCTCCTGCCTCAGTCTCCTAAATAGCAGGGAGTACATGTATGTAACATCACACTGTGCCATTTTTTTTTCTTTTTTCTTTTTGGGACAGGGTATTGCTATACAGTGCAGGCTGGCCTTGGACTCACCATGCAGTCTAGGCTGATCTTGAACTCTCAGTGATTCTCCTGTCTCAGCCTCCCGAGTGCTGGGATTGCTGGCATGTGCCAACAAGTCTGACTCTGTGACTTCTGTTTAGTAAGAAACCTCTGTTATCATCTTGCCAAGGCTCACTCCCGTCAAGCAGATGTCAGTTTACAATGTAAGTCTCTTAAAGGGGTGGGTGAGTGCTTCACAGGTCAGGCCTGTTAGTAACCAGTGAGAAAGTGGAGGTAATCTGAGAAATGTAGTTGCTTACATTAGGTAAAATAAAGTTGACTTGGACACATAAAGAAAAATTACAAAAGCTATGTCTTTTAACATGACATTTTACACTTTAAAAAATCTGTCTCCCTAAAAAGGGAGAGAAAGCATACTTAATTTCACAGATTTTCTCCAACAAATGCTGGAATATTAGCCCAATAGACTGTATGAGACCTAAACATAAAAACACACAAAGTCTGATTCCTTGAATACATTCAAAATCGCATAAATGATACAAAGAACACAGGGTCTTACACAGTCACGGTGAACTCCTGGAATTCAAACAACTGGAAACTAGGAAGAATACTGCAGTGCCACAGCAGCACACAGACAGCACCGGAGACATCCACTGTCATAACCCTGAGGGCCACAGTTCTTGCCAGCCAAGTCTCACACGCTCCGGCCAGGTCGTCTGCATGGCCCTCTGCCCAGACCCCTCCGCCTCTGGCCACGGTTTCCCCCTCGGTAGACCCTCCCTTCACTGCAGGCTGCATCCAGGGATGCAATATGCATAGCACTGGTCAAATATATTTTTAAAATGCCTTTCCCACTTTAAAGATTTGATGGTGAAACAAAGTCCTAGAAATTTGACTAAGCATGAGGCAGTTCGGTGATCTCTGAAACTTCGTCCAGTAGAAATCAGTTCATCCTAAAGCTGTAAGTCACAGGCAACTAGATACAGCACCCAGAGAGAAATCAACTGTCTCCCTATTTGAAATACAAAAGATATAAGATCTGTTGTTTATATGAGTAAAAAATTGCTTTAAAACCAATTTGTACTTTTAATTATTAATTAAAATTTATTTAAGTAAGCAGTTAAGAAGAGAAAAACAAAAACAAGGAACAATAAAGAATAATTATTATAGTTTATAAACCTACCGAAAATCAATATCCAGTAAAAGGCTTTTAAGGTTAGACTTCTGGTCACCAGATGTTGTCAACCTGATCAGCTCATGCAACCTAAAGCAATTAGTAAAAGCAAATTTAGTGAAAAGTTACAAATGCATAGACAACAAGCAAACAAACAACAAAACCAATCTGTGTTCTTCTGTGACCTCTGATATTTCAGTGAAATCCCAAAGAGAATTTGGCAGGTGTAACCAAGATTTCAGTTTGTAAATATTTCTAAAAGGGCCACACTTATCTGAAACGGAGAGGTCTAACATCACAGACAATTTATGTATCGAGTCAGAAAGCATCTCCTTTCCTACGCCAGAGAGAAATGTCTTCAATGAATACAGGCTGCAAATCCTGCAGAGAGCGAGCAGCCTTCCCACTTCCTGGGAATTTGCAGCGCTTCTCGCTGTACACTGTGCATAGTAAAAAAACTACTTGACAAAGTCTTTTCACAGTTTAAATAGCACAACAGGAAAAAACTGTTTTACAGAACACACCTTGGTGTGCCAACACACAGTACCCTTCTGAAGCCTAGGGTAGAGAGGAGGCCGACCAAGAATCGACAGGTCCTATCCGCAAACAGGTACTGGGCATTGGTCTTCTTGTTTTCCAGAGGATAAAGGAGCTGGCTGGGCCTTCTTAACTGGGTGACAGAAAGGTCGCCCACAACATGGTGCTCTTGGTGTTCCCCCCATTCGTCTGGTAGCAGCAACTGCTGACAGCTGTGACAGAACCTTCTCTGAGTCAAGGGCAACTGGATGAACCTCAGGTACCTTTAAGACACAATGACACACAGAGGAGGACACTTTAACTTTGTTGTTTTAGCAACAGCATATCTTTGCTATTTTTAGCATCCAAAAAGTAGTTATACTTCCTAAAGGATACTGCATAAAGCAGTAAAGGTAGGAAAAATCTGTAGAATGTTGGCTAGAATTTATGTCTGGCTGTATAACTATAAAGTGGAAGAGAATCAGCAATTTCATAAGAATTGAGATGCTTCAATTTAGTCACTGAATGAAGATCAATATCTGTTTAAAATGTGAATATAATATATTACTCCAACAACTTAGTAGTAATGACAAGTAGTATCACATTTAAATTTATTGACTAATCCATGTGTTCTAACTCTCAAGTGTTAAACAGTCTGGCTCGGTTGAGCAGTCGCCTTAAAATGAGAAATTAAGATCATTCTTCAAGTTCTTATGGCATACTTAGCAAGAAAAATTACCTACTAAAAGGAAAGATGTTTCCACAGAGCTCCTCTGCTCCCAGCCAAACTGACAGAGGCTGACGTAAATTCACCACCAAACTCCAGGACAATATTCAAAGGCGAAACACTATTTTGGACACCTTGCTTGGTGTTTTTAAGTCACCCTGATACTTCATGTTAAAGTCTCTATTTCTCTTTTTTCACTTTATTAGAGAGTTTTTGCTTTTATTTTTTGTTTGTTTGACACAGGTCCCACTACATGGGGATATAGCTCAGTGGGAAGGTCTGGGTTAACTCCAGTGCCACAAAAAAACCCCAAAACTGTTGATTTTGTATGTGTAACATCAGCTATAAAATTGGAGTAAGATTAAAAAAAGAAGAAAAAAAGCAGAGTAAACAGAAAAAAAAAAAACTCATTGACTACAGAGGATCAAATGTCTACTAAATCCCATTTTCTGTTTTGTTTTGTTTTTGTTTGTAGTGCTGGAGACTCAATCATGTGGCTTTCTACTAATGAGCTACATTCCCACCCCTTTAAAGGCACTATCTTGCTATTCCCCCACAGGGGCCTTGAATTTGCAATCTTCTGGCCTTAGTCTCCTAAGTAACTGAGATTCCAGGCGTGCACCACCATCCTCAGCTTAAATCTAAGGACGATGAATAGTGTAATAAAGATTCTCATAGGTTGACAAAAGTCCAAAAATTTCAATGAAAATAAAATTGTGAAATGCAATATAAAAACTGTAGACTTAACAAGGAATCAAGATGAGCATTAGTACTTTTCCTGTCTAAGCACAGTTGTATTTCAAAGCACCAGTGGAGGTGACAAATAAGACACTCTAAGTGCCTATGGCAAGAAATCAGCCACAGGGCCAGTAATTTAAATATTTGTATTTCTATAATGACTGATCTTTAACAACTTAATGCATAACTAGAAAGAAAGAGAAGAGGGATATTAGAAGGAGCCACCTAGTAATTCAAAGTAAGACTCTCAGGAGAGCAAAGGACCCTAAGACATGAAATGCAAGTACGAAGAAGCAACAGATGCATCAGACTGCCAGCATCCAATCACGTATTTATTACTGGTAAGCAAAGAAAGAGTAAAACCTTACCACGCTGATGGCCAAAATCTCAAACCAACTAGAAATGACAGAGGCAGATGATGTAATTAGTAAAGAGAGACAGGGGAACCATATGTGTGGCATACATTTGTAATCCCAGCCACTCCAGAGTCTGAGGCAAGAGGACCCCAAGTTTGAACCCAGTCTGAGTAACTTAAAGCCCTGTCTCAAAATAAAATTACAGCTGCAGACACAGCTCAATGGGGTTGCACAAGGAGGAGGAGGAAGATGAAGAAAAGGAGGAAGATCATGATGAGGAGAAATATCAAGAGCTCAGCCAAGATCCCGATTGTCAATATTGGGAACCTGGCCAAGAGTCCTGATTGTCTTTCTTAAGAATGTGGTACAAAAAATAAAAAACAAAGACCAGTAACTTAGTGTTCCATCAAAGGCTGGGAAGTCAACGTCTCTGGATCGGATTCTTCCACTCCTAAAGCAGTCACTATTTATTAAGTGTATACAGTGATAGGTGGGGCTAGGAACAGATTGTAATTCATCAGAAGACTCAGACTCAAGACAGTGTAGATAGTCTTACGCTTATAAGTATCTTGTCCTGGAGTAGAATCTTGAAATGACTTAAGAAGGCGTAGAGAATCGAGAATCCCATGCTTAGAAGAGTCAATGGGAAATCTCAGATGGGTGATGCCAATAATCCCAATCCTTCCTTTTATCCCATAGGGAACTGCGCAAAATCAGCCACTGTGAATCTGTGGTCCCCAACAGAGAAGCTCTATGAGGATGAGGACGACGACAAGAAGGAGAAGCATAGACCTGTGAAGTAAGACATGGAGAGCTGGGGTAGAGACCACTGACAGATTACGTGCTTACACAAGGCCTTGGGTCAATCCTCAGCAAGACAGGAACATGTGGGAGGGAAAATATGCAAGAAAAAGATGGCCCACAAACCTATAAAGATTTTTCTTTTGTTTGAGAGGAAAGGCACCACAGGCGGGACTAAGAGCAGTTTAGAGACTACCAAAAAAGAAGATCAGTAAACCTGAAGCCATCTCAAGTGCAATGCAAGGCCTGGACATGCATGAATGCAGTTCCTCCAGCGGGGCAGAGGGACAGAAAAGCTTGACTATATAATGGAGAAATTTTTCACAATTACATCTAAAGATCCAAAAAGCTCAGAAACACAAGCACAAGAAATATGAGGGGAAACCAGACACATTATAAAGCTTTTCAAAATCAATAATAAACAGAAAATCTGAGCTGGGTATGGTAGCAGCACCTGGAATCTCAGCACTTGGGGGGCTAAGGCTGGACGATTACCACAAACTCTGAGCTCCACCAAGATTGTCTCAAAAAAAAATAAAGAAAAAAAAATCCAACCTTATGTACAAAGGAACAAAGGGAAGACTGAGGTTAGGTTTCCTACTGAAAACAATACAAAAAGAAACAGCAGAGCAATACCACGTCTGCATTATTCTCCCAGCAATCTGAAAAGGGGTGGACACTTCCCGACGCACTAAAGGATGACAGCATTACCCACTACCAAAGACAGAACAGGGCAAACATTTACGAGAAAACTATACCTTTACATACCTCATAAACACAAACTAAGCAGTAAAACAAAACCAGCAACACATTAAAAATAAAGTACTGGGCCATGTCCAAGTACAATCTATCTTAGGAGTGCAGGCTGCTTTAATGACTCAGTTCAACCAATGGGTTCACTATATTAATAATTTTAAAGTAATCATCCTACCTGATGCAGAAAAAAAGGTGATACAGATCCTTAGAACACAGGACTCCTCTTATAAACGGACTAAGAGAAATCCGTGGCTAGCAGCATACTGGTGAAAGACTGTCCCCTAAATAGTGACAAAGCAACAAGGTTTACTTGTGCTGTCTCAATATCAACTAGGCACCGAGCCAGCTTAGTAAGATGAGATAAAGAAATAAAAGGCATAGATTGGAAAGGAAACATTAAAACTTCTCTAGTCACAGGCAACATGATCACGTACAGATAAAGTCCTAATCCTGGAAATCTTCAAAAAGAGCTGCTGGAACTAACCGTAAACTTATTGTGATTTTAAGATTTATTTTAAAAATCAATATGCCAAACCAACTGTATTGTTGTTATACACTAGCAACAATCAGAAACCAAAATTTAAAAAGAACTCAGGACCTTGCATTTGTCAAACAGGCAGCTATGCCATTGAGCTATACTCCCAGGCAAAGAACAAGATTTGAAATACCATCAAAATATACGAAATACTTAAGAGCTGGGCATAGACGTGTATGCTTGAATTCTAGCACTTAAGTAGCTGAAGGCACAAGGATTGCAAGCAGCTTAGCAACTTAGTGAGACTCTGTCTCAAAATAAAAAATAAAGTGCTAGGGATGTAGCTCCGTGTAAAGGCCCTGAGTTCAATCTGACAGCCCACCTATAGTGCTATATCCAAGAGAGGAAGATTTTAATGAACTAAAAAATCCCAAATTTTTTAAACACAAGTTTTCATACTGATACAAAAATCAACTGCAAGGCCTAGTGGTGCACACCTGTAACCCTATCCACTCAGGAGACTGAGGAGGAGGAGCATGTGTTTTGCCTCAGCTTGAGTGACCTGATAAAGCTCTGACTCAAGATTTTTAAAAATGTTTAAAAGGCTGGGGATGTATCTCAGTTCGAGGCCCTGGTTCAATCCCAAGTACTATGAAAACAGAAAACCCCACCCCTGACCACAGGTGCCTCCCACTACCCAACCTGCCTCTAACCACCGCCAACCCACTGTCAACGTCTCCAGGAACCTGCCCATCTGGGACAGTGCACATAGCGGACTCATAGTAGCCATATCCTGGCTTTGATTTAAATTTTTATGAATAATAAGACTTCTGTACAAGAAATAGAAACTGCTTTGAAGTTCTACCAAAAAGGAGATGAATGAAGAAACTACAGCCAAGGGGCTATTAGTAAGGAACAAATAAGTCCATTTAGCCACAGACAAGTGTGGAGATTACAGTCACATCACACAAAGCAAGTAAGTACCCTGAAAAAAAGGGTAAGAAAGAGAAGACAGGAACCAGTGTAGACATAGTGATTTCTCAAGTTTTAGAGCCATGGGTCAGAAGATATGAAACTTCAAGTAAAAGGCATATTCCAACCCTGAAAACAGACAGTAAACTGGACTTCTGGAAGAACATGGTGGTTAGATAGCAGCAGTTATGGAGGCTCTCTGAGATACCTCACTTAGAGTCCAGGAATGGTGCAGTGCAAGGAGGCCTAAGAAAGGGGAGATACACCCTGCCACCCAGGAATGAACTAAGCTAAGAGAAACCAACTGGAAATCTAATCCTGGTGCTATAACAGATAAAATCTCAGCACAGAAGCTAGAACCTGTGCCACTGGAAGCCGCAATTGGAATTTCCTGCTGCTGCTGCATCCAAATCTGCAGGGCAGGAAGAGAGACACTCAAAAGCTCTGAGAGCGGGAATC